TTTTCATTGATTAATGAAAAGGAACATAAAATGTTCAAAGATACAAACTTCCGAAGGAGTGAAAAAAGATAGCAAAAAATTAAAAAGTGCAACCCATGAAATCAGGAAAAAAGATCTAGTCAACATCCTTTGCAAAACTATATAGGAAAGATGAAAGTCCCCCAATTAGTATAAATAAATCATATTAGGAGAATAGAGAGCAAAAAGCCTAGTCAGAGCACACCATTGAGAAGCTTTAAACTTAGCCAAACTGAAGCACTCCATCGAAGGTCTTCTTTTTTCCTAAAAAATCCTTTGATTCCTTTCAAACCAAAGTTCCGAAATGATGTCTTTGACCCCGTTTACCCAAAGAAGACTCGCTTTAGGAGATAAGAATGGGCCGAACAACAGTTGAGTAACATTCTTCGGGACTTCCATATCCAACACCCAAGAAATAGAGAACAAATTGAACAATGATCTCCAACAACCTGCTGCATATGGACAACAAAAGAAAGTGTGCATTTGAGATTCGCCATCAGCCATACACAGCACACAAATGGAAGGTTGTATGCACATATTTGGGGATTTCTTTTGGAGAATTTCAGCCGTGTTAACCTTTCCATTAATAAGAATCCTAGAAAGGATATTAACCCTTTTTGGACTTCCCGACTTCCACAATCTAGAGCATTGTTCATCTGTCATCAAGGAGGCCTTTTTACAAGGCTTGCATAACGAAGCAACTGAAAAAGATCTTGAAGAGTCCAACTTCCACATCACACGATCTTCATCCTCTTGCAAGGATATTGAATTCAGATATGATAAGAGTATTAAAAACTCTTCAAATTCTTCATCTTTAAGATTTCTTCTTGTTTCTATTCTCCAAGAATAAGAATCCGGATCCTAAGCCTCACAAACTGAAGAAAAGGGGAACGACACAACCTGGAACAAGGCAGGAAACCGATCTTTAAGAATTGAATCTCCCAACCATAAATGATGCCAAAATAGAACCCGTGTACCATTTCGCACTTTAAAGCAAGGATGCTTTTCAACCAGCTGCCACTGTTTTTGAATGCTAAACCAAGGACTTCGATTACTTCCAATCCCATGCCCATAAGCAAACCAATGAAATCTGCAAGTACCATATATACAAGCTACTACTTGCCTCCACAATGCAGAAGTTTCCACATTAAATCTCCATCCCCATTTAGCCAACAAGGCATTATTTCTTTGAGCGAGGTTGCCAATGCCCAAACCACCATATTCATGATATAAAGAGGCAATATTCCATCTAACGAGATGGTTCACAAATCCTTTCAGATTTATTTTTTTTTTTTTGATAAGAAACAATTTCATTCATGAGTGAAATTACAAGAGGGGATAAAAATCCCAAATACCAATGGAGTTACATGAAACTTCTCCAATTGGTCAAAAGAGAAACCATACCGTAAGATGCAAATATTTTAGATGCTTTAAACCAAGACATAGCAAGAAAAATGATATTGTCAAAGAGTCTAGTGAAAGGTAGCTCTTTGTCTGTGAAGAGTCTATGGTTTCTTTCGTTCCAAAAAGTCTATAAGAAAGCTCGAATGATGTGTTTCCAGAGGATCGCCTTTTCTTTCTTGAATGGATGGCCCACGAAAACATATGAGAGTAACGCCTTGATATCAAATGGGAGAGCTACTTTCCAATTGAATGCAAGTAATATCTCATTCCAAAACATTGTTGATAGAGGGCATGTGGGGAAAAGGTGAGGTTGTGTTTCTCCATCTCTTTTACAAAGGATGCACCAATGGGGAGATATGGCGAAAAAGGGAAGTTTTCGCTGTAAACGGTCATGGGAGTTGATGGCCTTGTGTGAAAGCTCCCATATGAATAATTTAATCTTTTTAGGGTGGACTTCACCCCATATAGTTTTAGCCGGGGAAGAAGTTCAGAATTTCTCCCCAGAAAAAGTTTCTTATACACTTCTCGAGCTGCCTGCATATCCCTTTTGGTAATTGAAATAGAGAAAGATAATACAGGGGAATGCTGCCAAGAACTGATGTGCAGAGAGTTAATCTTCCACATCTTGAGAGCTGATATCTCTTCCATCTTGCAAGTTTCTGCATAAAGCCTAATTTTTTATGGGCCTAAATCCAACACTCTCTCAAATTGATTTGTATATGTTAATTAGGCCCAGATTTTACTCATGAAAAAAACTCTGGTTAGAATAGAACTGTGAGAGAGTTTTTTTTCATGCATTATAGACAATATATGTTAAGTAATCTCATATCAAGTTCTGGTTCCAATTATAATAATTAAATTGGAACTATGCTCAAAGAGTAGATAAACCAACCTAAACCTCAAGCAACAAAAACAATAAAAAGAACCAGAAAGAGAAATTGACACCGGATTTATACCGGTTCACCTAATGTGGGTTACGTCCAGTTCTTTATTACCGTTGCAAGTTCCACTAACCGCCAAGGAGAATCTTCAAGAGTTTACCAATTCTATACGATGATTTCTCTCACTTTTCTTTTTGTAAAACCTCACGAAGAACCCTCTCACAAAAACCCTCTATGGGAAATCTCAACAAAAAAAAATCTCTCTCCTAGTATGTTAAAAGTGAGGCGGCAGGTAACGTTGAAGAAGAAACAAAAATAGGTTTGGGCTTTTTACTTTTGTTGCTTGGCCCAATAACCTATTCCTTATTCCTTATTTCTTTTAATTTTATTTTGGCTTGATTCTCAACAATGTTATGTGAGTGTGTAGGCATGCACATATAGGCATGCATACATGCATTATGCATATCCATACAGATGCATTGCTATTTCGAATTGACCAAGTTCACAAGTATAGAACTGATAGTTTGGAATATCAATAGAGAATAGTTTATGGTTATTTATTCATAATCTTTTTACATGTATTCTACATTTGATTGAAAAATGTTTGGTAATAAAATAGTGATCATCATGGTTGCAGCTGCGGATGCCAATAAGGAACTAGATTCTAGTGTCGTTCCTATCATCTTGGAAACAAACCAGTTTCATGGTTCTATGCAGAAAGGGAGGGATGATACGGATACAAACTGTTGGACTTCTCCAAGTGGTGCAGGATTCATGATAAGGGGGAAAAATTACCTCAAGGACAATTCTAAGGTGGGTTTTTTTCTTTTGCGAATTAAAAATATATATATGCTGGGTTAGGACGATCATTTTGATGTTCATAATGTCATATTTGCCATTTTTGCAACCTTGAAAAAGGAGAAAATGTTGCATCATGGTGCCGAAAGGTTGCAATAAGTCAGGATTTTTTTTTTCCTTTCAGTACGAGGAATGTGAGGGTGGAAGATTGAACCTTCAACCTCAAGGAAGGGAATTGATGTCTTATCTATCGAGCTATGCTTGGATTAGTGGATGATTTGGATTTCTTAAGTGTCCTGTTGCAGTCTCAAACTTTTATGTTGTTTCATGCTGCTCCTTGTCATAAAAAATTTACTTCTTGAAATGCCTTTTTTTCTCCTTAATGAGAACTATGACCCAATAATTGAATCCTCTTTCCTAATGTTTATTACCACATGATGGGAAGTCAAGAAGAAAATGCTTGTTATTGAAGACACAGTGGTTGAAATAAAACTGTAAACTCTATTTTTTATGCACCCACCGTTTTTGATATATCACATAGTTTGGAATTGTGACAACTAGGTAGTTAATTTAGGGGAATGATTAGGAGATCAATGTATCCCGAGATATGATATGTCTAGTTGTGTCTCCTTGACCTTTTAGTACCAAAGAGTTTTTTTTTATTGACTACTTGAGAGTTCTTTATAATCTACAGAATTCTTTTCTTTGCTTGGGGATTTGTACTTGTTCTCCCTCCTGTTTGTATTGAGTTTTTTTTCTGGAAACACAACCATTTCTGTAGAAAAAAGCTAGGAACTTATAGGATTACTAAGGTCCATTTGATAACAATTCTATTTTTAGCAATTAAGCTTGTTTACAATTTTTCCACTTTTTAGCCAATTTTTATTATTGTTAGTTTTTGGTTGAGAACTATTCTTTTAGTTATAAAATTTGACTAGGATGCTGATATTATTTTTAAAAGTAGATTACAAAACAATCAAAGAAATTGGCCCTACTTTCATTAGTTTTGAAATTTTTGGTAGAATTTTAATAATATTAATAAAAAATTTAGATTATAAGACAAAATTTTCTTCTTTTTTTTTTCTCTTTTGTAAAAAAGCTTGATTTTGAAAACAAAATTCCTCCTCAACAGACAGTCTTTTTGGATTGGCAAGCTTTGTTGCAGAAAGTTTTTTCAATATCTGTTCTTTTAGCTTTATGATTTTTTTTTGGTTTTGACCTCGTTTATTACCTTATCATTTGGTTCCTATGTTTGGTTGTTTTTCTTCTCTTTTCGCTTCTTTTGGAAGCTTATATCCTTGAACATTTTTTTTCCCTTTTCATATTATCAATTAAAAATTTGTTTTAACAAAAAAATAAAACAAAATTGTTGTCATTTCAAGTGTTATCCACGACGATACTTTACACTGTATTTAATTATTATAAATCTACAGGGAATAGGACCATGATTTATGTAGAACTAATAAGTACCATTAAAACAAACAGACTAAATCAAAATTAAATGATGTGAGAAATGATTGTTCTTCGTTCATGTCGTTTGATATCCTATGACATAGATTACATGGTATGATATTTTTCAGGTAATGGGGGGAGATCCCCTTCTCAAGCTCATAGCAGTAGATTGGTTCAAAGTTGATAAAAGCTTTGATAGAATTGCATTGCATCCCCGTAACTTAGTTCAGGTATTATCACTTACGTTTTAGCATCCATGAAAAGTAGAAACCCCTTACAAACTCTGTTGCCTACTCTTAATCACCGTATTTTTCCTTTACCAAAAACTGCATGGATCCTTGGTGCTTTTCGTGTAGAATTTGCCTTATGTAATTGGAGAAAGTTGTGTCTGTTGTAAAAAATGTACTGTTTAAATAGTAGATATTTGAATCTATTAATTTGTTGTTGCATTGCACTTATTCAAAAGTTCACTATTTTAAGCATAAAGCTAGACCGTATCTTTGTAAAACTTGTATCTACAGAGCTCTACTTATGTTAGTGTTTTTGTGAGGTAATGGAAGAGGTAATTATACAACCGTGAGTTATCTTCACAAAAGTGGTTGGGTGCCAATTGATCTCTTTGGCCAACAAATTTCCTGTCTGCCACTGTGACGTGAGGTTGGGTTCAGAATAATATTGTCTTCACAAAAGGTACCACCAAAGGATGCGATCATTTTATGGGTTGCAGAGTAGCTAGGAACAGACAACTTGACGGCTTTTATGCCCAGCTTACCTTGGTTTGGTGGTGTATCGCGGATAAAAGCAATACATCCATAGATTTTTAAGGTTAATAGGAAAGGTGTATAGATCTGCATACAACTTTGGGTGCATGTGTAGGGGTGCTCTATATTGAAGAATCATGGAGGGGATACATTGAGGAGTTAAGTAGTAATCAGTACGGTCTCTCCCCATTAGATTTTAGGAACTTCCGTTTGAACTGTAGGAAATCTATGGGTAATGTAAATACGGAAAATTAAATAAACTGGTTGCCTTCCTTCAGAGAGAAATTGTTTAAAATCATTAGAGAGAAAGTAGTGGAGAGATTGAGTGATGTGTTAGCAAAGAGATTGAGAAAATTTGTAGGAGCACAATTTAATTACCTGAGTATGCAAGGACAATGTTGGTAATGAGATCAAGAAAATTTTTTTGTATGAAATGAACCTGGAGGAAGACAATTGTGGATAAATTAAATTTTTGTCCCAATCTTGAAAAATAGAAGAGCTAGCTGAAATATTAGAATTTGTTTGAAGATACCTAAATAAATTATGTAGCTGTCACAACCTTGCCTGGCATGTTGGACCATTATTTCTAGCTTACGAAAGAAGTGTAAGACAGGGCTTCATAATTTGGAATATGGTCTAGCATGCTCACATATGCACCAAATCCCCCATGTTAGAAGGGGTAGGGTAACACTTCTTGTACCAAGGTTTTAAATGTCGATGTCGATGAAAATGTTGAGGTTTCAATTTCATGGAAATATCGATAGAAATATTGATAAAATGTCGATGTCGATGGTTATTTCTATAAAAGTTAGAGAAACTAAAAAATCATAAAAAATATTAAAATTAACAAATAAACATTTTTCTATTTCTAAATAAGTTAAAAATAATTAATATTATATATATATTAGTGACATTTTGTTGATATTTTTCATATTTTGTCGATTTTTTTTGTTTTTTTTCTTGAACAAGATACGAAGTTCTCATTGATTAATGCAAAGAACAAAATGTTCAAAAGATTCAAACTCTCAAAGGGAGTGAAAAAGGAAAAAAAGACAAGAGACAAAATCGCCGACAGATAAATGACATAAAAGACCAGAACAGAAACTTTAAAATAGAGCCTCCCAAAAGAAATGAACTGCAAAAAAAAGCTTCAGGAACCTTGAACAGCAATAACATCGTTGAAGACATCTTTATCATCTGGAAACAACTCTTTAAACTTCTGAGAATATTTGACCCGAATATTTCTAATACCTTTAGCAAGATCTCTTTCCCACTCAGCTTGAATCTCCATCTTTCTTATAGAGTGTGCTTAAAAAAAAGAGCCATTTCTTTGCGAATATTGACAAACTCGAACTTAAGAAAGGATAAATAAGCATCCAATTGAGAGAGAGATAAGTTTGAGATGAATTTGAGGGAAGAAACAATGTCTTCTTGAGAAACTGGTAAGGGAAGATCCATGAAGCCAATGAGGAGGACTCAAAATAAACCGGAAAGAAAACACCTAAAATGGAATGTCGATTTTTTTTTTTGTGTAATTTGATGGAAATATTGATTTACCCCTTATGTTGATGTCGAATCCATGAATACATGAAAATGACGATGGAAATGTCGACGTGTCGACATATATTAATAACATGCCTGCACCTCTATTCTTCTTTTCTCTCTCTGAAGATGCTTGATGACATGATGTAACTAACAGCCCGTTAGTTTATTAGCTTATTAGTTAAAGACTTAAGTTAATTGGTTGGCTGTTAACTATGCCTGATCAGTATTTTTGTTAAATGTCAGTAGCCCTCTTCTATAATAGGGTAGTGTAGTCGGTAGCCCTCTTCTACCAGAAGGCTTCAAGAACCAATATTGGATTCAAGAAGAATGCAAGAACCACAAATCTTTCAACATAAACGCAAATTGGAACCCTCTATTTCAAAGAAGAAATGAAATCCAAATATATTCTTCTAGTGAAGAGGACGAGCTGCCTGAGTTGAGTTGGTGGAAGACAGAAGGGGTTTTCATCTTAACTATCAGCAATACCGAGAGGTTAGCAATTACAAGATGAAAATTGACTTACCCAGCTTTAATGACACAAAAAAGTTTGGCAACTAGAAAGTTCCAAGCAACAATCTTGGAATTTGTATGAATTTCACCAAATTACTTTGAGCCAAGGCTGAGGTATTTTATGCTAAAATATTTGTCCAGAAACATCCAGATTTTTCTGGGGAATCCATTGGAACTCCAACAGGAGCCATGAAAATTTTCATTTTTCTTGTACAAAACTCCGAACAACGAACAGAGAAAAAAATCCAACTGATACCTTAACCAAGATGGGTAGATTTTGCCACCAAGAAAGTGAAGATGCTTCAAAAGACTGCAAAAGACTGACAGAAATTTCAGATGATACAAAAAGCTTAGAGATTGAACAAGAAATTGAGGAGGAGAAAGATGAAGAACAAGCCCATTCAACCAAATCAATTTCTCACCATTCGAATGAAGTTTACCCAATTGAATTTGCCAACATTATATTTCAAGATTGTAATTTTTCCAGCAAAGAAGAAGAGTTTTTCTATGGGTTTGTAGGTTATTTTGATGAGACTGAAGAAAATTACCATAGGAGTGTAAAAAATGAAGGAGATGAAGATTTCTTCCATATCGATAAGCTTATTATAAATGGTGAGGCATTAGCTAAACCAAATATTTTCTTAAGCCAAGAGGTATTTCAGACAAGTTTCAGCATACTGGATGGAGATTTTGTTTTTAGATACAGAATAGTATTGGGACTAAACCAACCCATTCTACACTGTCTAGAGGAAACAATAAAGGGTAATAACAATGATAATCTTAAAAGGCAAAAACTATTTAATTTTCTAGCAAGGAGGTACAACAACAGAGTGTTTACTCTCCAGTTGGACTCCAAAACGTTGGCTATAAGAAAATACCAGAAAGTCTTTCCCTCACAGTAGACTTCAAGAATGTAGATGAGTCTTTTTGTTTTGATGAGTTAAAAAAGGCATTTTAGGTTGGAGTATTTTTGAACCACAAGAAGAAATAAGTTTCCATTTTGAAGATTGTTCATAGCCTTCTAACTCCACTGCTTTTAAACTCGATGACGAGTTTTGTTTAAGAGAGAAGGAAACTGATGTAACTACCAGCCCGTTGGTTTTATTAGTTTATTAGTTAAAGACTTGGGTTAGTTGGTTATCTGTAACCATGCCTAATGAGTATTTTTGTTAAATGTCAGTAGCCCTCTTCTACAAAAGGGGCAGTGTACTCCCTCATGTATTTAGATCTTTATTAGTACAATCCTACACCATGACAGGTGAGGTGAGATGATGCTTTCATGTTCTTTACTGCTTAATACGGCTGTTTTTATGGGGATGCCCATCCCAGCTGGTTGATCTTCTTTATCTAGTATTTTTATGCTTAGTTGCATACTCGCATCTATTAGTCTTCATGTCTATCTAAAAAATGTTCATGATAAGATGATGTATGCCGGTACCTGTCTTTTTATATAAGGTAATGCTTGAATTTCCTAGTACTTGTTGTCTAATAAAAATCCTTCACTGAAAAGGAAATGGGAAAAATAAAATTTTTGAGTAACTATTTTTTTTTTCCCAATATCAGTCAGAAGCTGGAAAGAAGGTCCCATTCATGCTTGTCATTAATCTGCAGGTTTGTGCAGCCAACTAAAATCTGCTTGTTTTTACATTTAATTTTGCAGTAACTACATTTAGAGTGAAAGTGTTCTTTTTCTTTTCTTTTTATTCTTTTAATTGTGAACTTGATTCTAGAGCAGCAAGACAAAAAATGCAGAGTGTTTTTATTTACAAGCTTATATGTAGCAATTATACTTTATAACCTCAAGAGTTGAGAAGAGTGGTAAAGAGGCTACTATCTAATTTTTGAAAAATGGAAAATGTCACTTTATCTGTCTTATATTGTGTCCCTGCTTCTTATGTTCATTTCTGTTCAGGTTCCAGCCAAGCCAAACTATAGTATGGTAATGTATTATGCTGCAGATAGACCTATAAACAAAAATTCTTTGTTGGGCAAATTTGTGGATGGAAGTGACATGTACCGGGATTCTAGATTTAAATTAATTCCCAGCATTGTGGAGGTATAGGATCTTGTTACCTTATATTTATTATTCCTGATGCCATTGCAACTAATGGTTAGTTTAATTCAATAGGGATATTGGATGGTCAAGCGTGCAGTTGGAACAAAGGCTTGCCTTTTGGGCAAGGCGGTTACATGCAAGTACCTCAGACAGGATAATTTTCTTGAAGTAACTAATTCTAACCCAACATTAATACTTAATAGCATGCATTCATATATGTGTTATTTTGTCAGAGATGTTTTATGGCTACTTAGACTTGCCAAGTTGAGGGGAGGGAGAGTGTGTATTGTCTACTAGTAAAGCAAGTTCATGTCAAGCTCGAGAAAATTTACAGGAAGGAATATTTACTTTTATGTGTAGTGTATCATTTGCTTCATATTACTTACCTTGTGGAGTTTTTTCTTCTAGCACTCAGACTAGCAGATGACGTTGATGAGAATGCCAAGCCCCCAATGAATTTTACTTACGATAGAAGAAAGTCAGCTAGGATGACTGAGTAGAGCTATGTGTCAGCTATGATGACTGAGTAAAGTCAGTTTGTGAGAGTGAGGAGAATGTTTTGTACGCGAGTATGGTTCCCATCTTATAATAATAGAAATAGAAGTCGCCCCAAGCCCCATTAGCAAGGGCTCGGTGTCTCTCGGTTATACCGACTTAAATGTCTCACGTTCGAACTTTCAAGTGAACTTAATATCAAAAATCCCAGATGTCTCCCAATTTCGAGCCTTGGTACGGACGCGGGTGCCCTTGGGTATATGGGAGTAAAATTTCGACTCCCGATTATCAAAAAAAATAAAATAAAAAATAATAATAATAGAAATACTAGAACTACATTCGGATAGGAAGAAAGAGTATCATAATCTCTTGAACGCTTTGGTATTATAGTTTTATTCTATTGTTCATTGTTATACCAAAGGTCTTTCGGGCCTATCAGGCTAGGTTTCCTATAATTTTTTTCATATTATCCTAAATGCAAATCTAGTTGCCACTGCTTGGAATTTGAAAAGCCTAATTGATTCTTGAGTAAACAGAGGAAATTCCGAAGCTATTTGTGCCATTAGAAACACGAGTATATTATTGTGTACTAATTATCTATTTGAGCTATTCATAGGAAAGCATGCCGTTGTAGCCTTACTCTTATGAGAGTGTAATACATGTTCTAAAATATGCTACTTAAGTTATTTTACTAATTACTTCATAAATGTATTTGCAGATTGATGTGGATATTGGATCATCAACAGTTGCCAGAAGTGTTATTGGCCTTGTTCTTGGATATGTCACAAGCTTAGTCGTTGACCTTGCAATTCTAATAGAGGTTATCACTTATGCTTGCTATTCTTATGTATCACACACACACACGCATACACAAAAAAATGAAAATAAGAAATGAGGGAAACTATGAAGGAAATGGCCGAACAGAAAAATTGGCCATAGTACTATTGTTTACCTACATATTTTTACTGGTTCATTCATCATTAGATTTTTTATATTCCATGGAACAACTTACCTTATGGAATTATGAATTAATAGACATAGATAGATTTTCGATTCCTATTTGTCAAATTCATTGTGTAGTATTATGGAGCTGACAGCTACTGACAATTGCAGGCAAAGGAAGAGGAAGAGTTGCCTGAGTATGTTCTTGGAACCGTTCGGCTAAACCGTGTGAGGCTTGATTCGGCAATACCTTTGGAAAATTGAGGTCTCTATATGTTACATTTGCTAAATTTCACATTTATTTATTGTGATATGGTCACTTCAGTGAGGTTTTATAGTTGATAGTATGTCCATCCTGTTATAGTGAATAATATTTACAAGATACTCAAATTTTACTCAGTAATGAAATGATCCACTAAATTCGTCTGAATTATTTTAATCTATACTTCTGTAGTTTTAGTATTCTGAAAACTTTCATAAATTTTGGCATATTTGTTGGAGGAACTGTGTAGTTCTATTAGTTTGATCGCTAGTTTTCACATTTCTATCTCACCTAGCTCATACATAGGGATCAAACATTTCTTTTTGATAATTGATTGATCTGTCAGTAACAAGTCATTATTTTTGTTTGATCGGTTTTTGAACTCTCTAGGTGCATTTGGATGTGGGTTTGACATCTTAAGCGTGGGATTAGGTGAAAGGTTTAAGAAGTTTAGCATTAGGAAATCTGTTTGGGGTGCAGGTTTAGGAAGTCTGGATTTTCAGAAAACGATACGTGGTATTGGATTTAGAGTACGGGTGAAACTCATGGATTTATCTAACGAACCTAGGCTTGACGAATTCTAGAAAACATAGATTCAAAATTTTAAACCAAACTCACCCAAACAACTCCTTGAAAAGGTATTTTACATTACATTTATTTCTCGAAAAAGCGATCTGATCAATGGGATTTGCTCATCCTGTTACTACTGCTGGAAATTATTTCACATTGTTCATGTCTTTCTTGATTGTTTCTTTTGCTTATGGCCACAGAATTCCACCAGCTCAGTTCTATTAATCTGATTTTTTTTCTCCTTTTTCATATATATTTAATCATAAAACTGTTGCAGGGCTAATCTTTTCCATCTTGAAGCTTACAAAAAAGAGGGCCCTTTCTGCAATCACTTTACCCACTCCCAACTACTCTTGCTTTACTTTATTAGCATATCAGTGGACAAACTTTAGAATGATGGATGATTTAATTTGCATAAAGTTTATCTCTTATGATAATTGTTCTTGTTTATTGATTTGAATTGCTTGTACCTTTAAACTAATGTATAATATGTATAAAAAGTTGATGAAAATAAAAGAATAAGAAAAACTTTCTCAATCAATGTTTCAAACTCACAAATTGTTTAAGAAAGTATTGTTCCACCTTCCCCATATATGTATTGACAAATCAATTCAATTTCGTTTCCATTGATTCTAAAACACCTTTTTAATCCTATTTGAGTTTAAGAAATTAAGTTAATTCCAACCAGTAAAAAGTAAATTTTCTAATTGAATCAACCTGTCAATCATTTTAGGGTAATTAAAAAAAAAAACAAAAAAGTGAATCATCGTGATTTAGTTTATTGATTTGTTTTGATCTCGTAGACTGATCAAATATAACGTTATATTTTTTTAACAATGAGATGACACCAAGTACAAGCAAGTATTTTTCAATATTCACAAGAAAATTTTACAACTATAGTTGCAATTTAGCATTTTTTTTTCTCTCTCTCTTATGATTTGAATATCAAATCAAGGTATGCAAGGTTTGTCTTTTTTTTTACTAACATTATTCTTTTAACCTGTCAAATTAATCCCTTTTTCCCTTAAAAGATGTGTCTTTTTTACTGAAAAAAAAAGTGTTTTTTCTCTCTTTTACCTCTTTCTTCGAGACCACACGATTGTTAGTTCCCTTTTATTAATATACATAATATTTTATCTTTGGAAATAATAATAATAATAATAATAATAATAATAATAATAAATAAATTCTGTTTTTTTTTTCCTTCCTCTTTTGGGATTCCCTTTATTTCTACCTTCATAGAAGTATGACTTCTCATTTAATACAGAACCATTCTCATTGTATCCTTTGAATTAATTCATGAAAGACAAAATTTAGCTAATGCCAGTCAAAAAATTTAAATCTCAGGTCCATGAACCTTCAAAATTTAGCTATATGACATTAATAATTTTAATCTTTAGTATTTGAACAAGTAAAAAAAACTTAATACATCGTCTAAAACTTTCCCACTATTTCTTTTTACGTACTCTCTTTCACTCATTTCACTCTCTACATATCTATAATTTTTTCGATCAAAGGGAAGTTTTATCAACCTCTTGAAAATCTTAAAATAAAATGTGCAACTTTTTCTTTTTACAAAATGAAAAGTAGATCGTTTTTCAAATTTTGTAAATTTGAATTTGCAAAGAGGAGTGAAATTGGTCACGAGGAGGGAATGAAATTAGGTACACTGAGGGAGAAGGGACAATATTTAAAAGCACAATGGACAAGTTTCTTATGTCTTTTGTACTTAAATGTCCATTTCCCCTTTTTATTGCATTTCCTGTTCCTTGCTTTTTCTGTAAACTTTGTATTTTACTTTCCTTTTAAATTCTCACCGATACATCACATAAAAATAAATATCGTTAAGTTGTGCTTATGCTTATGGTAGTAATAAACTATTCAATAATTGAATAACAGAATGATGCCACGTCATTTTAAAATTTATATTCACTACTTCCTATGGTTGTCTTACTATGTTTGTATCTTCTCATATAGCTGTTTATTCGTCTACTCTCTATCATATTTAGAGTTTGTTTTCATTTGTGTCAACTTTTTTTCTTTGAAGCGTATAACCTCCCCGATTGGATTAAAACTCAACTATAAATCACTTTATGAGATATCTAACATTTACCATATTTTGTTATACCCTTAATAATAGTTCTCACATCAAATAATAATTCACTGAACCTCTGCTTAGCAATCTTTATATATGAGTTCATGCCACCTATTTGATAGAGCTTTATTACAAACCATCATTGCTGCAAATTGCAATATCAAAGATTCAACACTTTTTGTTTAACATGTGAAGTTTCGTCCACAAAACTAGTATGATATTATTCAATTTTAACTTAACCTGCATGAATTTCCTCGACTTCTTTTAAAGTATTTCATTAGTAGAGGCACTATTTACTGGATGTTTATATTTACTCTTTTTAATTTATCATATAAAAAAAGTTATTACTCTCTGTTTCTTCATACTTTCATATTAATAATCATCGCTTCAAAGTCTTAACCTAATGTCTTCCCCCTTTTTGGTTAGAAACCAAACTCAAACCTATCCAATCTATGCCCTATATTTGACAAACATCATTCAATAAAATTATTTTGAAAAAGGGAATACATACAATATAAAATGAAACCTTTGCTTTTTTATATAATGTAATAATTAAAAAAGGGGTTTGCTGAATGATTGCAGTGAAATTAGGGTCTTGGGCAACTTTTGTCCCCATCTCACTTTCAAAAGCATCGCCTATATTATCATCCATCTTTCCCACCGTTCAGTAGGAGATCCCTTCTTATTTGTGGTTAGAAAATGATGACCTAATAAGTCAAGGGATCCTGCTCCTTAATTATAACATTCCAGGCTGTACTTGCCTTATTTGGAGTCGTATTTAAATACTATTTTGATTCATGTCATTTTAATTTTTTTTATTCATTTTGTTCTTTATATTTTTAACTTATTTATTTTAATTCATATACTTTCAACTTTCAACTCTGAACTCTGGTTCATTTTAACTCCGAAATATCAGTTTGATCTTGTATTTTTTAAAAGTCATAATTTTAGTAACTATTTACAAAATTTTAACACAAATTCTATATACAATGAAATCCTTTAATGCAAAGTTATTGACTATATTTCAAAAAATTTATTGAATATAATATTGTGTTAAAATTTTGATCCAAGCAAATGAGATAAAAAATAAAATAAAGAGACCGGATCACTTTAAAAATTACATATAAGGCAAAAATGCTTAGATAGTTGTCTACTTAAACATATTCATATCCTTGATCAGTTAAACTATGTTCAATTTGGTGAATGATATGCCACTGGCATATTATCCCAAAGTATAAAAATATTTTCTCATAAAGAAAATAAAAACTTGCTCATAGTCTCGATTGATAAAATCCAATTGATTGTGTTTATCTAAACTTTAAATGTTTATGTCAAAGTGAGCATAGCTCAACGATAATTGACATTTCATATAGTTTTTTTATGGTCGATGCATTATAAATCTTTGCTCCATCATTACTTCAGTTACAATGTAAATAAACTATGAAGAGTCCCCACCATTAAAGACTTTAAAGCAATCTCTTCATCGTAATTTTATGAGTTTTATTATATATATTATTCATAAAACAAACATTACTTTTATCTATTAATTTCTTTATGATTTGGACCCATATTGTATCAAATTTAACATTTCAGTAAGCTAAATTAACGACTTTAAAAAGTTACCAAAATAAAATTCATCAATAAATTGATTTCTTATTACTTTTTCTTTTTTATGCTTTTATCTTACAAAACAAAACACAACTTCTTTCGAAAGTTTGAAAATTGATTAAAAAGAAAGGAAGCCTTAAAATCAAAATATACCCATCAAACTGCATTATCCATCTCGAAGATCTTTCACCTAAAATTCAGCAAGAAACTGAACTTATTAAGCTAAAGTGGACAAAGCAAATGGAACTTTATTTTGTGCCTTTGCCAAATAAACATGGATTTTTCCAATATTGATGGGATTTCAGGGCTCCCCGCAGTGTTCAAATCCCAACTCAAAATGGTCAGTGATGGTTATTATTGGATTCTCTCCCTTAGAAAAAAGAAGATGCTCTCAAATCTGCAAAACTTTATTCCAAAATGGCCAACACCATCCTAATACAAAACAGCTCAAGGGACCCCTCTTGCTCTTAAAAGCAACCCCAATAATATTCCCATGAAATGTAAACTAATCACTCTACAGTCACTTCATTTTCCATCCTTTTATGGGGATTTCCCTATTCCCCATGCATTTTGATCGACCCATAAAATCAAATGCAGATTATAGAAAGGGGGGCTTGTTTCTTTTCTGGGTTTTCCTTTTTTACAATTTTCCCCCATTCTCTTGCTGTTGTTCGAGTTCCAATGGAGGTTTTTAGATGCCTGTGCTCCAAATTTCTTGTGTTTTTGTTGCTTTCTGTAGCGGCATCTGCCACTGATCCTTACTCTGAAGCACTTTTGAGCTTGAAATCTGAATTTTTTGATGGTTTTGGCAGTTTGAGCGATTGGACTGTGCCTTCTGGAGAATACCCATCTGGGAAAATCCATGGCTGTTCTTGGTCTGGAATCAAGTGCGATAAGAATTCCTCCATTGTTATTGGAATCGACCTCTCGATGAAGAGGCTTGGTGGGGCGATTTCTGGTGAGCAGTTTCATGTATTCAAAGAACTGGTTGATCTTAATCTGAGCCATAATTTTTTGTCTGGGAAGCTTCCTGTTGGAATCTTCAATCTCACTAATCTTAGAAGTTTGGACATTAGTAGAAACAATTTTTCTGGTCCCTTTCCTTTTGGGATTTCTGTTCTTCAAAATTTGGTTGTTTTTGACGCTTTTAGCAATAGCTTTTCTGGTTCATTGCCTGTTGATCTTTCAGAGCTTGAAAATCTCAAGTTTCTCAACTTAGCTGGGAGCTATTTCAAGGGACCAATTCCATCAGAATATGGTTCTTTCAAAAAACTTGAGTTCATTCATCTTGCTGGGAACTTTCTCAGTGGAAACTTACCCCCAGAATTGGGCAAACTCAAAACTGTGACCCATATGGAAATTGGCTACAACAGTTACCAGGGAAGTCTCCCATGGGAATTTGGCAACATGAGTAACCTTCAATATCTTGATATTGCAGGTGGGAATCTCTCTGGTCCAATTCCAAAAGAACTGAGTAATCTCACAAAACTTGAGTCTCTTTTCCTTTTCAAGAACCAGCTCACTGGATTTTTGCCCGAGGAACTGAGCAGAATCACCTCTCTGGTAGATTTAGATCTCTCTGATAACCATATTTCTGGTTCTATTCCAGAAAGCTTTTCAGAGTTGAAGAATCTTAGATTGCTCAGTCTTATGTACAATGAAATGACTGGTTCTGTTCCAAAAGGCATTGCAGAGCTTCCTTCAATGGAGACTCTTCTCATATGGAGCAATCAGTTTTCCGGGTCACTTCCAACCAACTTGGGAAGCAACAGAAAGCTTAAATGGGTTGATGTTTCCACTAACAATTTTGTGGGTGCCATCCCACCAGATATCTGTCTAGGAGGTGTACTTTTTAAGCTGATCCTGTTTTCAAATAAGTTCAGTGGTGGACTTTCCCCATCTCTCTCGAATTGTTCTTCTCTCATTCGGTTGCGGTTAGAGGATAACTCATTTTCGGGTGATATCTCTCTGAAGTTTAGTCATCTTCCTGATATCTCATACATAGATCTCTCTAGAAACAATTTTACTGGAGGAATCCCTTCAGTTATAAACAAAGCATCCAACCTTCAATACTTTAATATCTCTCATAATCCAATACTAGGAGGTGATTTTCCTGCAGAAACGTGGACTTTACCCCTTCTTCAAAACTTTTCAGCCTCTGATTGTGCCATAAGAGGAAACATTCCCAAGTTTCAGCTCTGTAAATCTATTTCTGTTATTGAATTGAACGGTAACAATCTATCAGGAAAGGTCCCAGAAAGCATTTCAAGTTGTCAGGCTCTTGTAAGGATGGATTTGTCTGAAAACAATCTCTCAGGTCAAATACCTGAGGAACTTGCACATCTACCTTCTCTTAGCATCCTTGACCTATCCCACAACAAGTTCAATGGATCGATACCCAATAAGTTCCGGGATTCGTTGAGCTTGCTTCTGCTAAATATCTCTTTCAATGATATCTCTGGTTCCATCCCTGAGAAAGAAGTGTTCCAGTCAATGGGCAGCAGTGCATTTTCTGGAAATCCAAAGCTATGTGGAGAACCGCTGCGACCGTGTTCGAGTTCTTTGGCAATACTTGGAGGCAAAGGAATGGGGAAGCTTATACTTGTCCTGATAGTGTGTGCAGGTCTAGCTATAGTCGCTACGATAACCATTGCGTGGATTTTCTTCTTCCGAAAAGGGAGCAAAGGCAAATGGAAGATGGTGTCATTCACTGGACTTCCCCCATTCACGGCTAATGATATTCTTCGGAGTTTTGACTCCACTGAATCTAAGGAAGCGATATCACCATTGTCTGCTTCAATTTTCAAAGCAGTTCTGCCCACTGGAATCACAGTGTCTGTAAAGAAGATAGAATGGGAAGCAAAAAGAATGAAGCCGATGTCAGATTTCATAACCAAATTAGGTAGTTTGAGGCACAAGAATTTGGTCAGATTGCTGGGATTCTGTTACAACAAACAGATGGTTTATCTTTTGTATGATTACTTGCCCAATGGAAATCTTGCAGAGAAAATTTCAGTGAAAAGGGAATGGCAAAATAAACTCAAACTCACGGTGGGAATAGCAAGGGGACTCCACTTTCTTCACCATGACTGTTATCCTGCAATCCCCCATGGAGATTTGAAGTCGACTAACATCATATTTGATGAAAATATGGAACCCCGTCTGGCAGAATTCGGACTCCGATTCCTACAACAGCTAAACGAAGATCCATTTTCGTCCCCGTCCATGACGAAAGAAGCAGGTATACCAAACAGTAAACATTTCTTCTCCACATTACATAAGATGTCCATACAGATTGCTTATTTCAGAAAACACAAACATTTTCCAAAAGTAGTTATTCTGATATATTCTCATCTGGGACAGGCGAATTCAACAATGCAACAGAGGAGGAGCTGTGGATTGATGTTCATAGTTTTGGGGAGATCATCCTGGAAATTTTAAGCAACGGTCGCTTAACGACTGCTGGATCGAGCACACAGAACAAAGCAAGAGATCTTCTATTGAGAGAAATATACAAAGAAAATGGGATTCTCTCTCCCAATTCGTCATCACAAGAGGAGATAAAACAGGTGCTTGATATAGCTTTGCTATGCACTAGGAGCAGGCCTTCCAACAGGCCATCCATGGAAGATGTGTTAAAGCTATTATCAGAAGTAAAACCACAGGTAAAATCATAAGACTTTGAAGAAGGAACTTTCTACTTTTGGTTTCACTTTTACCCACAAAGAAAAAAAGAATAGTATAGATTGTAAGTCTGTAAGTAGTAATTTATAGAATTTCTGTGCAATATATATTGTTTCCATTTCTTTGGTACTATTATCAGTAGTGTTTTTGGTGTATACAAGTTTATTTAGTTCAAAATATGTTGGGTGGGGATTTGAACCTTCGACATTTTTGTCAAGAATTTATACTTTTATCCGTTGAGATATGTTCAAATTGACTATTTATATTAATGTTCGTGAACATGCTCTATTTTTCTAAATCGAATTCTTTTTGGGGTTTGTATAATAAGTGCTATCTTTATATCTGGATTATGGATTTGATTCTGGACTATTTTCGTATCGGGTCATTCTTTGTTCTAGTCGACGTAAATTTTTTTTAAATTATACCTTACGAATTCATCCTTTAGCAATGACGATAGAAAAAAAAAACATCGAGTCTTCGCTCGAATAATCTAATATGATATTGGTTTAATAGAGCTTTACTATGAACTCAACATTTTTGTTTAGCATCCAAGAATTTCATTTTTTCATTTTTTTTTCAATAGGGTGAGTATTTGAATTCGTGACCTTTTGGTTGTAAACGAGTGTCTCAATCAGTTGAGCTATGTTAAAGTTGATAATAACATTTTTGCTCAACAATCAATTCTTTCATCCACATGGTTAAATTTAGAATATGGCTCTAATACCACTTCATATGATGGTGATCTTTATGTCCATGTTAGAACATTAGTATGTATTCCTTTTAGATTTAAGCCTACTAGATTTGATTATGGACTCGACTCGAAAGATCTCATGAAATGTCGTTACTTCATTGTTTCTTAACTTCGAGGAACTAAAAACCTAAATCTATAAGCCTTAAAACTCATCTTATTAGTTAGTTGGCCCAAAATTAATCTACTTTGGCACGGGTAAGTTGTCACGTTACAAATGAGTGTTAAATAAACGGAATTAAATATATGTCTATTAAATATAAAATTGAAAGTTTAAGAATATGAAATAGCATAGTCTTAATAGATAAGACATCAAAATGGTAATTTAATCCATAAAAAGTGAACATATTATAATTATCAAGTTAACTAGTGTTTAATAAATTTTTAAAATGTTATACTCCCATCATTAAAAAAAATTTATTCACATTTTGTTTTCCTGACTTTTTATTTTTACGTTTTTAATCGATAATATATATTGAGTTATGTTCAATGTTTTGTTTTATTGTCTTTAAACTATTATAGAATAAATTTTTAAAAAATATAACTGATGTTTTAAATATCGATGGAAATTTCGAAGTCTAAATATTATGAAAATGTCAAGAAAAATAGAAAATATGCCGACGTCGATTGAATTTTTGAAAAAAATAAAATTAAAAATTCATAACAAATAAAGATTTCCATTCTTTTTAAATAAGTAACAAATTATGAATACTAATATTAAGTTTATAGTAATGATATTTTATCAATTTTTTTTTGCAATGGTATGATAATGTTAATTCACTAACCTAAGAAAATATTGGAAGGAAATTTAATACACTATAGCACGCGCCTTCAGACGCGCGTGGTTAACGAGAACTCAGATGACCCATTTTCCCGCCAAGTGCTTCCTTCCCGCCAAAACTATTGCGCTCATAAGCCTTCGCCTCCATTGCTAAACCCAGAAGAAAAAACTGAAAGCTCCGTCGAGAGAGAAGGGTTTCGGTGTTTTAGAGGGAAAAGCTTATTCTTAGACGCAGAAATGTCGGGCTGGGATGAAGGGGGAATCTACTACAGCGACCAGGCGCAATCCCTCGGAGACGGAACCGGCGGCGGCCGCGCCGGAGATGCCGAAGAGAAGGCCACTCATCACTCGGTCCTTCGGAAATTCAAGGAGTTCATCCGTGGATTTGAAGCCGACAAGAATGTCTTCCCCTACAGAGAGAGCCTTCTTCATAACCCGAAATTTCTTCGCGTTGATATGGAGGACGTTAACGCTTTTGACTCCGATCTTCCGGCGAAGCTTCGATCTGCTCCTGCCGATTACTTGCCCTTGGTAATTGAACATATTGGGTCTAGTTATTGATTGTTGATTTCTAGGTTTTCTCAGAAAATTTTAAAGTTTTTGGTTATTTCCCTCTTTTGGCAGTTTGAGACTGCTGCAGCGGAGGTTTTAATGAATCTCAAGACGAAGGTGGCCGGTGAGACTGGAGAAATGGTGGAGCCCGTGCCCGGGGATGTTCAAATTCTTCTAACGTCGAAGGAGGATCCAGTCTCCATGCGGTCCCTTGGGGTTAGTGAATTTTCTCCGTTTTCTTGAACTGAAACTAGACTATAAAGAAGCAATTAAAGTTCAAGTTTCTAACTGTAAAGGAAGTACATTTTTCCCAATTAAAGGCCAATACTTACTAGTATTCTTCGGACCTTAATATTTCTGTAATCGTGGGCAGGCTCAATATATTTCAAAACTTGTTAAGATATCTGGAATCACAATAGCTGCGTCAAGGACCAAGGCAAAGGCAACCTATGTGACCTTATTGTGCAAGAATTGTAGAAGTACCGTAAGAGTTCCATGTCGGCCAGGACTTGGAGGGGCAATTGTTCCTCGATCATGTAATCATATGCCCCAGGTATATCCCTCGCTATGACTTTCTTTAAATTAGTTTGAGTTGTTAGTTTAGACTGAAACTTTTACGTGGTTTGAAATTCATGTAGGCGGGAGAAGAACCATGCCCACTGGATCCTTGGATTGTGGTTCCTGACAAGAGCATGTATGTTGATCAACAGACATTAAAACTGCAGGAAAACCCAGAAGTAAGGAATTGATTGTAACAGATTATGGTGAAGATTAGTTTTCTATGCAGCTAATCTGTAGCAACTAACGTTGTTTCTTCTGGATATTGAAGGATGTTCCAACTGGGGAACTTCCTAGGAACATGCTTCTATCGGTAGATCGCCATCTTGTTCAAACAATTGTTCCAGGCACTAGATTGACCATCATGGGGATATATAGTATTTATCAAGCTGCCAATTCTTCCGCATCGTGAGAAACATCATTCTTTGATATGCATAATCAATGCCTTTGAGTTGTATTTCCTGCAACTGACTGATTTTTTCTGAACTTAACTTTGCAGCCACAAAGGAGCAGTTGCAATTAGACAGCCTTATATTAGGGTTGTAGGAATTGAAGAATCTAATGAAGCCAACTCTCGAGGCCCTGCATCTTTCACAACAGAAGATGTAAGTGGTTCAATCGTCTGTAAAAATTTATCGAATTCTATCTTCTACTTGATGCTAGTGTTTATCACATGTGGGCGACATCTTTAAAGAATCACACTAGTACAATGGAATGTATAGTTAATTGATCTACCGTCAAACTTTTAAGCTTTGCCATTTAATTACGGTCAGACTTCAGAGTGTATCTTGAAAGATTCTACCATTCCTAGACGAATCTTGGTTAGAATTAGGAACTTGAACGATAAATAATTTGTCTTAGCGAGGTTACCAAATTCTTTATAGATTTCTCAAATGTTGCATGTTGAGAGTATGCACATGATAAGTTCCAGTGCAACTCTACCATCTCCTTTTTCTAATGGACAAACATGGTGGAAAAACTCACAGATAGAAGAGTTCAAAAAGTTTGCAGCAGAGCCTGATGTGTATAAAAGCATATGTTCAAAGATTGCCCCCTCTATATTTGGTCATGATGATGTGAAGAAGGCTGTAGCTTGTCTTCTGTTCGGAGGATCCAGGAAGGTATGTCATGGACTGTAATGCTTAACTTCAATTATTATTTGGTCTCTATAATCTTCAATTTTTCAATGAGCAGAATTTGCCGGATGGGGTTAAGTTAAGAGGTGATATTAATGTATTACTTTTGGGGGACCCGTCTACAGCTAAGTCCCAGGTTAGTTGATTCAAGAGTTTGTGGATACACGTCTTACAGAAAACGGAAAAAAGAAAGAAAGAAAGAGATTACGGATATATTATATTCAAGTCACTGAATGCTACTGTAGTTTGTCATTTGTTTTTACCATGTTCCCTTGTATTGATACAAATCCACCAATTGCCCCACCCAGTTTCTCAAGTTTGTTGAGAAGACAGCTCCAGTTGCTGTTTATACTTCTGGAAAAGGTTCATCAGCTGCTGGTCTTACAGCTTCAGTGATACGAGATAGCAGCTCTGTGAGTGCTCAGTTTCATTTTGCTTGTACATAAGTATTAACGGTTTTGAATTGTTCTTTAAAAACATTTTCAATTTAATGGAGTTGTTTTCTTCCTTCATGATAAAAAGGTTGCCTGATTTTTTTTTTCTCACATATCTGTGCAATCCAGCGAGAGTTCTATCTTGAAGGAGGTGCAATGGTTCTGGCTGATGGAGGTGTTGTCTGCATTGATGAGTTTGACAAAATGAGATCAGAGGATAGGTAAACCTAAAATGATTTCAGTTCTCTCCATCTAAGATCCTCATGTAATTTTTGAAATCCTTATTCTGCTTTTAGAGTTGCTATCCATGAAGCCATGGAACAACAGACAATATCAATCGCAAAAGCCGGAATAACAACGGTTCTTAATTCCAGAACCTCAGTGCTTGCAGCTGCTAATCCTCCATCAGGACGTTATGATGACCTTAAGGTCTTTATTCATATTTATTGTTTAAAACCTGTTTTTTAAGTTTCTTAATTGTCTGGCTTAATATGCCATGTGTTCATCTGCGTTTCAGACGGCACAGGATAACATTGATTTGCAGACAACAATTCTCTCAAGATTTGATCTAATTTTCATTGTGAAAGATATAAGGATGTACAGTCAAGACAAGGTAATTGTGAAGCTTGCTCTTCAATTACTTCAACTTAAAATGCCATTTTTTCTTTCCGTGTATTGATTTATACTTGCCTCTATTTTCTTGAGTTTTAACGTGAACTCAAGAAACGACATGTCATGGAGTTTTTGGCACAATGGGTTGTCAATTTTGTCTTTATAAGGGTGTATTATTATTTATTACTAAGTTTCATTGACATCGGAATAAGAAGTGATTATAGGTTGGTTTTGTTTCCAAAACTCATGGGGATAGTGTCATTCTACCCTGTTCTAATGGCAATGATTTTATAATAACTGCAGATTATAGCAAGCCATATAATAAAAGTTCATGCATCTGCTGATGCAACCTTGGGTGAAAATAGAGCTTCTAAAGAAGAGAATTGGTTAAAGAGGTGAGGTGAAGTTATAAAGAGAGTCGTCATATATGCTGCTTCTCTAATCCTTCTGGTTACTCAACTATCTGAATTGAAATTTTGGCAGGTATATTCAATATTGTCGAACTAAATGCCATCCCCGTTTGACAGAGTCTGCATCCACAATGCTGCAGAATAGTTATGTTAAAATCAGACAGGTTAGCTTGTGCCTTGAATATTTCACTTTCTAAATTGATTTGTTCATGAATTGAGCTCTGAATGCTTAATCTTTTTTGTGTCTTCCAATTCCAATTGATTCTTAACCTTCCAGCTATGAAATTTTTGCTGCAAAATAGTTTGGCTTTGCTGAGTTGATTACTTAATTGGCTCACATTGTAGGACATGAGACAACAAGCAAATGAAACAGGGGAGGCTGCTGCAATTCCGATTACAGTAAGACAGCTGGAAGCTATTGTAAGGTTAAGCGAGGCACTTGCGAAAATGAAGTTGTAAGTATTAGTTTTATCTCAATACCAACTTCTTCTCCTGTCATATTGCTTTTGCCCATTTAAGAATGAAATTTGAACAACATGAGAAAGAGCTTTTATTTTTTTATGAAAATGTATAAATTGCTTTCGTGTGGAAGCTTCTCATATTGTTAAGGAGTGATGACTTTTTGATAGTCATGAATTTAAGAATAGCTTGTAACTAAATGCTGTGGGAAAACTTTTCGTTGAGATGCTCGAAGTTTCTAGATTAATCAGAAGTGATGTAGTTTTCCCATTGATTCAGAGCATAAGTTTTATACTTGAAGTAATATGGATCTGAACTGTTTGGTTTTGCTAAATATAGTTGCTCGTAAATTGCAAAGTAGTGGGAGTAGGTTTTAGTCGTGTTTTTACATGTGGAATGACTTATATAAACTGATTATAGAATTTGCATTTGGCATTTTGAAACTATGAAGCCAAAAGTTAAGAATTGATTCTCTAAAGCCAAAGAAAATGTGTAAGTAGTTATTGTCATTGTGTTTTATATTGTAATCATCCAGATGAAAATTTTGCTGTTAATTTCCACGTAAGCCAAAGTGTCTGGAATATCAGACTGTTGATGCTAAAATTTGGTGTCATCAAAAGCGGAAACAAAATTTGTAAGCGGCTTTCTGTTTTCAGACATTTGAAGGATAACCATTGTGTAGTAGAAAAAGACAATAAATTGATTTGATTGTTATTTTTATTGATCAACTTTAAGAACATTAATTTATTAGTTATTGAGCTAACTAATTATTATTGATTAATCATTATGATTAAAGTTTTGGTTATTTTAAATGTTATTTTACATCCTTAGCATTGTTTCAACTATATTTGCTAGTTTCCATTTGTGTTAATCTGTTGAAAAAGAAAGTTTGCATGTCTGACAGAGAAAAAGAAGAATACTATCTGCATATTGCATATTTTATTCTTTCTCCCAAATTAATCTCGCCCCCAAATATTGTCTTAATTGACCTAACAAAAGGATTTTGCATTAACCTTTATTGATAAAATGATATTAGGTCCCATGTTGCCACCGAGGAAAATGTGCAGGAAGCTATTAGACTTTTTACCGTGTCCACAATGGACGCTGCACGCTCTGGGATTCATCAGCAAGTAAATCTGACTCCTGAAGTGGCTAATGAAATAAAGGTTGGTCTAAAACCAGAAGCTCATTTCCTCGTAGTATCACCATTTATTCTAATATTTGGTAATCTCCCCCCATAAACAGCAAGCGGAAACACAGATAAAGAGAAGAATAGGAATTGGCAACCACATATCCGAGAGAAGGCTGATTGACGAGCTCACAAGAATGGGGATGAACGAGTCAATTGTAAGCCTCTCTGAACCAAAGAAAGCTGACCATTCTTAGCATTAAACATTTGCTTGCATAGGAAGCAAAAAGCTCGGTGAATGAGGGAAAATTCCTAGTATTATGGAAGTAGATGCTTCTTCTTCCATTTACATATTGACACATCATTAAGTACTATATTACTTTATTCTATGAACACCACAACATTCTTAAATACTGCTGATTTCACAAATAATGAATGCTAAAAGTTTTTCCGTGAATAATAGGAAAATGATGGCTATAAGATAACAAACAGTTGTATATTCTTTAGTTGTTGATGTTTCAGTTCTAACTTGTGATTATGTTATCTTTGTTTGGACAGGTGCGAAGAGCTCTGATTATTATGCACCAGAGAGATGAAGTTGAATATAAAAGAGAAAGGCGTGTCATTTACCGCAAGGCATGATCATGATAAGTTATTAATTCTCTTATTGTGTCCATGGATTGATATGTGAGTATACTGCTGACTTCCACATGCATTTGATGAAGAAAATGTTATATGACGTGCACCAGAAACATCAGTAAAGTAACATTTTCATCTTCTCTCATTCCCATTATAAAGAAAGCACTTCACATAATTTCAACCTTAGCTAGAAAGAGATTGAATAGTAGTATCACTGTGTAGCTACTGGTGAAGACAGTACAAATTTACATGTAAGGATGAAGATGGTGTATTTTCTGTGCCACCTCAATCAATTTATGATTATTATTATTGTGGGTTGAATATTAGTAAAGTGATATTTTTCTCTCTTCTCTCTACATTTTTATCTTTTCGTTAAAGTCGCTTGTTGAATATTATTTTAAACAGAACTGGTGCACATGATTTGGCTCATTTACACCTGCAACATATACCAATTTTTTCTAAGATGTAATGAAAATCTAATAAGAGGGTGAAGTCAAAAAGTAACCTAAGGGGATGCTTGGAATTATTTTGGGTTAAATTCTTTCCTTTTACCCCATGCTTGCCTCAGCCAATAAAATTGCTTCACACAAAAAATGTCAAATTTCAAAAGTGTCTCAATAGGAGTATAGTTAATAAATGGTATTTATTATTATAAAAGAATGTCTGAATTCCCTAACATCTAAAAAGAATCAATACCCATGGTACATAAATTCTCTTCTTTTTTCTATCTTTTTTGTAGGTATCGTGTGTAATTTCTTTAAAAAAGAATAAGAAAAAAAAAAGATACAACAAATCTCATTCTTCTGCATCCATCTTTATGATCGTTAAAAATAGAGAGAGAGAAAGAGAGAGAGAGATATATATATATATATATATATATATATATATATCTCCTCCAAATTTGTCTCCATCTTTATCTCCAGCTCCTATTGAGAAAGTCTATTTAAAGTGTATAGTGTTGCTGTATGGTTTCAGTATCCAGGCCTTTCAGCTTCATCACTGATTCAACATGACCCTTCAGAGTGAACAGCTCTTTCAGCCTGCAAATGTATGCTTTATTTTTAATCATACGTTCTGATTCATCCTGAAGGAAACAAAAAGTTACTGCTCAAATATTGGGTTTTTCGAAACTTTAGTTGATCTAGGATCATAATCATGATGATATCTCCTAACATAATTTTATGCTAATGTTCATAACTTGTAAAAGAGTTTGAGCATTTATTGTATTGCATTTACCTGGCAACTTCAGCTCTTCTCTTTGCCTGTTCTGCGATCTCGGACAGCTCTCGGTAGCTACTACTGTCGCTAAATAGGGCTTCCGGTTGCTGTAAGCCATGAAGCGAACGTTGGGCCAATGCCCACTGTGCCTCCCTCTCTCCCTTTCCATAATCCTTCTTAGTTGTAAATGCAGTCTGAGGTAAAGAAACAAGTCAAAGTGTAGTGAGATAAAGAGTAAGAGAGAAGAGTCATCCATTTTTACTCTCAGTTTCAGCATTTTCAAATTGGATGAAGCTTTGACAAACCTTGTTTTGAAGCATATTATCCCATGCCTTCCCGCTCAATCCGTAGCGGATGATGAACTTGAGGACATCAAGGGGGAAGTAAGTGATGATGCTATAAATCCAGATCACTCCTGCCCATCCCCAACCGATGCCGTGAATTCTAGCAAAGTCCCATTCAGCATACACGGCAATTACAGTTGCCAACTGACAAAAATGTGCAGCAGCATTAAGATAACGTCATATGTAAATCATTCTGAGAGAATTCATATCAAAAATTTCAGGGAGGGAAAGACAGCATAACTCACCAGCTGAGCTATTAGGAATGCTCCGACTAGCAAAAGACCGGGGCGTTCGACAAAGGACCAGCTCCTTGACCTTGTCACGAAGATGAGGGCTTGACTGATGATGCTCACTTGGAGGTAAAGAGCAGAGTTAAGCTCAGTCAAATTATCACTGATTGGCTTTACCCCAAATGTTTCCTGAAAATTAGATTAGACAGAATAGTAAATTTAGATGATGAATTCTGTTTTCAACTTTTCTATCATTCTTGTCCTAGGGAATTTAGAACTATGCTCATATTTTCTTACTGGGAAGAAATCAGTCTCATGTGCGAGCCAGAAGAAGACCACGGTCATGATCGCCATGTACGTTCCGAGGACAACACCAGTGGCAAAAATTTCGTTTAGCTTCCAAGAATCAGGCATGGGAGATGGCTTCACTCTATCCTTTGAGATGGTCATGATGGTTCCATCATTCAAAATGGCAATAATCAAGACCATGAAAGGTGAGAAGTCGAACTTCCAGATTAGAGCTACAAGCATGAATCCCAACACGATACGGATTGTGATGGAAACTGCATAGATTGTGTAGTTCTTCATCCGTTGAAAGATGGCCCTGCTTGTTAAGACCGCACTCACGATCACACTGAGACCCGGTTCTGTTAAAACAATGTCGGATGCACCCCTTGCTGCATCAGTTGCATCAGCCACAGCAATTCCAATGTCGGCCTTCTTGAGTGCAGGGGCATCGTTTACACCATCACCAGTCATCCCGCAAATGTGCTTCCTCTCTTGAAGCTTTTTAACAATTTCATATTTGTGTTCTGCAAATCGAAGCTTAATAAGAATATGTTCTTTTCAAGAAAGATGAGAAAAAAAACACTTTGATTTTCTATAGTTCGTTTAAGTTTATAATGTTATTACCTGGGAAGACACCAGCAAATCCGTCAGCCTTCTCAATAAGTTCATCTACAGGAAGGCTGGCAATGGATTCATCCTTGCTCTGACCAAGTAAGGAAGATGATGGATACATATTGGTGCCCATCCCGAGCCTGCGACCGGTCTCTTTCCCAATGGCCAATTGATCACCAGTGATCATCTTAACATTCACCCCAAGTTCGAGAGCTCGACGAATAGTCTCTGCACTATCATGCCTTGGAGGATCAAAGAGAGGCAACAAGCCCACAAAGTCCCATGGCTCTCCAGCACTCTCTTTGGTTTTCTCTAGAACAGTCTAAGATAGAGATGAAGTTCAAAGCTTCAGTACTTTCTTATTCCATAACAAAACTTAACCATGAGTATTGCACATTCGTGATTGCTCACCTGGCGAGAAACAGCTAGAGAACGGAGACCACGATCTGCATAATTGGCGATTATATCATGAGCCTTCTTCCTTATCTCCCCTTTGAGGTTACAAAGGTCAATGATCTGATTGACCAGAGAGGAAGTTAATAAAGAAACCAGAAACTTGAAAAAATGGCTAATGGAATTATTACATTCATTTACCTGCTCAGGAGCACCCTTGCTACTTCTATGCCAGTTTCCATTACTGTCAATGTAGGTGATGGCAGTGCGTTTCTCAACAGGATTGAAAGGCAGGAAATGCACCTCAGTGATCCCTGCTCTGGCCTAAATCCCCCAAGAAACATGTCAAAAAAAGTTGCTTCATGTTAACTTATGAATCATAGGTAGGATGAAGGACCATCGGTAAGAAACGACGAATGTTAGAATAAGATTTTGTTTACCTCCTTAGAATCACCCAACATCCCGACAATCGATGCATCAATAGCATCCTGGTTCTCAACTCTGGAAGCTCTTGCAGCCAGCAGGAGCAAGGTGTCTGGATCAGCACCCTTTGAAAATACCTGTATCCATCACCTATGATCAGAAACTTTACTCACGAGTATCGAAGTTATCTAGAAAGACTAGAGTTGTAAGATTTTTGTTCATACTTCAATCAGACTTTTGTCCACTGTAAGCTTGTTGAGGGTGAGAGTCCCAGTTTTGTCACTGCATAGTACATCCATTCCTGCCATCTCTTCAATGGCAGTCATTCTTTTTGTTATAGCACCTTGTTCCGCTAGGCGGTGAGAACCGATCGCCATGGTGACTGACAACACCGTGGGCATGGCAATGGGAATGCCACCAATGAGAAGAACCAGCAGGTTGTCAATGCCCTCTCTATATGCCCTGTTCTGGATTGGGTACATCACTATGATCTCAATAAGCATTCCTATGGCAATGGAGCAGATGCAGAAGTTACCAATGGCTGTCAGCACCTGATTAATAACAAACAACCCATCAATTTTGCTGTCAAAAAGTTCTGAAAGATAACAGCAAGCCCCAGAAGATATCATACCTTTTGGAAATGGCCAACTTGGTTGGTACTATCAACAAGATGAGCGGCCTTGCCGAAGAAGGTGTGGACACCGGTGGCAATGACAACAGCCTCAATTTCTCCTTGTTTACAAGTTGAGCCGGAGAATACCTCGTCGCCCGGGTGCTTGGTAACGGGCAAGGATTCGCCGGTGAGAGCAGATTGGTCAATCTTAAGAGGATCTCCTTCCAGGAGTCTGGCATCAGCAGGGACAATATCCCCCAACTTGATGCTGATCAAGTCTCCTGGTACTAAAATAGCTGCCTCTTCCTCACTCCATTTTCCATCTCTCAAAACCTACAAAGTTCCATTGAAATTAGTCATATAAACATCTAAAATGGATAGCAATGCCCAAAGAATGGGAACTTTCAGAGAACATTATGGGGAAATACATACCTTGGTTTTGGGAGCAAGACCTGCCATTAGAGCAGCAGCTGCATTACCTGCATTGTTCTCTTCAATGAAGCTAATGGTGGAGTTGATAATGAGCAACACCACTATTCCGACGAAATCTTGCCAGTCAGGAGGCTTTCCCTGCATTGTTCGATCTCGTTAGCTCAACATACCAAAGAGATAGAGAGCGGGAAAAGCTAAGAAGCATGACACTTAAGTTTGGGTAATGTATCTGCATCTGATCTGATATGACACTTCGACACTTAGGCACAATATGTGTTTGATACTAATTCTACAAAGTGAATATGAGTCTCATGCTGTTAGGCATATTTCCATATTTCCAATCATTGTTAATCTTAGACTTAAATAGTAATATAGGACAAAAAATAATGGTTTAAATCTACCATTACTATTATATTTGTCACTTATTATCCGTTAATACTCGTCTCAGTCGGCCTATGCGAATCCTCTACATGGCCACATTAGCATGTTAATACATATATTTGAAACTACATTGCTCATCTTTTAAAATCAAAATAAAGACAAAGACTAAAATGTTCCTTTTTAAAAGTTAGACTAAAATAGAAGTTTTGAGAGTTCATAACTAAAATGGACATTTTGAAAACCGATGAATTAAAATGGAAAACTTTTTTTATAGTCTAGTGACTAAAATGAGATTTAAACCCAATTTTTTTTAAGCATAAAAATTCACAAGTTTATAGACTTCAAAACTTCTTGAAAAATGATATACATTTCTTATCTCCATGTCCGTATTCTAGATTTTTAGAAAATGACATGTCATCGTGTCGATATCCATGCTTTTGAGAGAGAGAGAGAGAAATGAGTACCCCTCCATTGGCCAAGACAATAGCCATGATAGCAGCAGACTCCATGACCCATGATAGGGGATTCCACATGAAGCCCAAGAACTTGAGGAATTTGCTCTCTTTTTTCTCCTCAAGTTTGTTAGGGCCAAAGATTTGGAGCCTCTTTTCCCCTTCCTCAGATGACAAACCATTTTTGGTACATTTCAGCTGCTCAAAAACCTCCTCAATCGGAATCCTCTCCTACACAAATAAACAAACAAAATCATTCAATTCAAAACCCCACCAAAACAAAACACACAAAAGCAATCAAAACAGAGTCTGATTCACATACCAGATCAACATTCTCATTTCTAACATCTTCCAAGGAAATGTCGGCCATGTTTTAATCAGGCAAAACCCAAGAAATAGGAGAAGTGAAGAAGGTAAAAGATTTCTCTCTCTCTCTCTCTCTCTCTCTCTCTCTCTCTCTCTCTCTCAGAGAAAGAGGAAAGAGAAGTAAAACGAACAGAGGGGACAGATGCTCAGAATGAGAAATGTTGCAAAGGGGTTGTTTGAAATTGTGGTTTTTATAGTGGAGGGAGGTCTGTGAAGATGGAGAAAAATGGGGAAATGAACCCATGAAAGCCATCAAAACTCGGAGCTTCAGTCCAAGTCTAATGGTTTCTCTGGCGCCACCCCACCACACATCCCTTTACAATCTACATTTCTATTTAAAGCTCTCTCTCTCTCTCACTCTGTTTTCCTTTTTTCAGTTCAATAGTCGTGGGGTGGGGATTAATCTTTGACCGTACCTTTTTTTCCCTTTTTTTTCACACACGTGAGAATCCAAAGTCAGCAACTTTTTTTTATGGGAGATAGGTGTGTTCAACTTTCTTAAGGGATACTTTCCACTTATATATTGAATTTGCCCACCTAACCATCGCTCAACTAGTTAATGTATGTATATTCATTGAATTTTCATTCCTACTGGTTGACACATATATTCAAAGTTTGAATTATCGTTCCTACATATTTTTGCATTAAAAAACTATTTATATTTATCAATGGGTTTGGTTCATTAGTTACACCCTATAAACGTTTGTTTTGGTTACTATACTTTTAGAAAGTGACTAATTTGGTCGCTATATACAAAATTATAACACAATTTTTTACATACAATGAACTTACTGATTTAGGTAACTATCTCCGACCAAGTGATCGTGAGTTCGAATCTCCACATTTACATGTTTTATTAAATTTAACGTGTGAAGTGTTATATTAAAATTATGATGAAAAGAAACGAGATAAAATCGGTGAAAATTTCTAAGTAATTTAAAAGTTTGTGCACTTATCTAGATAACATGATCAAAAAAATCAAACTTATAATCAACCCTAAGTTTGTGCATTTTAAAATCTTGTCCGCATTAAAGCAAAAAATGGATTCGTCAACATGACTTAAAGAAAATTAGAATAAATACAACTTTTTTTAGTAAAAAAGTGAGATGAAAATTTGAACTCGTGATTTTTTATCAGGAATATATCTCAATTATCATCGAACTAAGTTCATGGGTTTGCAGAACAAATACACCTCTATTCTCTATTAACGAAAAGATAGAAATTAAAATTATACAAGCTACCACCCAATGCATGGTCTAAGTTTTCTTTCTCCACTGATCCGAGGCTGTGTTAGCAAGAGAGAGATTTTCATCGTCGGCTGCAATGTTGGAAGCAAAGTAACCAAGCAATTCCAAGTCCATTTTAACACTTGAAATCTTCAACTTTATGGTTTCTTCATCTTCGTAGGCAATCCAAGTTGAATCACTGTATGTATAGGCAATTGCAAACCTCTGGTCCAACGCCACATTATTGGCATCCTTCTCAGCTATAAATTTCTTAACATTTCTATACTCTATGAGCCCTTCCATGGAAATATCCTCTCCTTGAGCTGCTCCATGGGCTGCTGAAAACACTTGGTGATTTTCAGAACTATTAAGCTTCCATGCCCAACCATGGAAGGGAATTCCAAATACCATCATTTTACTATGCAAACCTACCTCAATCCATATTTTGATACCTGAAAATTCAACATAAATAAGTGTTAGATATCCAATATATGAATAAATTTATCCAATCCATCAGCTTAATATTTTGAGTTGAAGGATGGTTTATTCATCCTTAACATAGTATTAGAGCGAAAGCTCATGTATTCAAAATCCTCTGTATTGTTTTTTCCTCTCCATTTACAATGATTTCTAGATATCCAACTTATTCACTTAAGCTTTCGAGTTCGAATCCGTGAATATTGAATATAATAGGTAATATGGATCATGTATAAATGATTTGAAACTAGAACAGGTAATTAGGTAATTAGGTTTCGTGTTTCTCGTTTTCAATTTTATTAAGAAATCTAAGCATTTAGCAACTATTTATGTATCTTTTGTTTCTCATTTTCTAGAAACATTCTAAAAAACATGTTTTTTTTCTTTTTATTCTCGTTTCTAATTTATTCTAACATAAATAAAAATATGATTTTATCATTCTTGAATCCATGGGTGTTGGAGACCATACAATTCTATTTTTCTTTATTAAAAGGAGGAAATAGAAACAAAAAATGAGAATATTACCAAACGGATCCTAAATCTTAAATAAATTAAACAATACCGAAGGATCCACACAAGTCTCTTCTCCTTGGATTGAAGAATGCTGAGGACGGTCCAGTTTCATTGCTTGACGAAGCGGGAGTGAAAATATCATAAGCAATCACATTAACCCAATCCAAAGTTCTTATCATTACTTGAGTTGGATAAGTAATATTCTCCATATGAGGCGAGTAGAAGACTGTAGCAACAAGAATCAACTTTGGCAGACTAGATTTTGTGGTTTCTCTAATAATAGCATTGTGACACTCAATAATGAGAGTTTCAAAGTTGGCCATGTCCTCCACAGAAGAAGGGTAGAGCCACTGAAGATCAAGGCCATCAAAATTGCCCTCTCTTGCTTTGGCAATGGTGGTTCTAACAAAGGCTGCACGATGGAAAAAACTGGCAGCCATGGCAGCAAATCTCTCAGCTTTTGCATCATCTCCTCCAATGGACAGCAAAGTTTTCAGTTCAGGGTTATTTTGTTTGACAGTTTTGGAAAACTCATGAATTAGGAGTTTTTGTGAATCAGAAATGGAGAGTTCATAAGTTTGGGAGTTGAGACCAGCATGAGCACAAAAGAGATGGGTGAAAAGATTGGCATCAATTTTGGAAGCTGGAAACTGGGTGTTGGTGTGGGTGAACCAATACCCAGCATTCACAAAGAGATCATTGGAGGCCATTAGAGAGAATTTTGGGAGAAGATTAAAAGAAGAGAGAATTAAAGGAAATTGAACCATATGTGTGGTGGTTTGAAAATCAATTTGATATATACGAAATAGTCAATAATGCTCAAGAAAGCTTCCTTTTTTTGCTATATTAAAATGACCCACTAATTCATACTCTATTTGATTAAACTAATTTATCTATCTAACCTCCCTTTGTCCACTAAGTCACATACTCTATTTGATTAAATAATTAACTTATATATCTATCTAACTTCCCTTTGTCCTGTTAGCTCTAATGGGTTAAGTTTTTCCATGTATTTTAAGCCAAGAGATCCAATTTTCAGCAAGAACTTATGTCAGCTATATATATATATATAAAAGTTCAGCCTGTTGTAAAATTGAGGAACGAAACGAGGCAACGTCGGGAAATAAAATAAACAAAACAATTCAAATAATAAAAGAAAATTTAAAATGACATTTCCCACCAATTTTCAAACTCGATTTTCCACCAAATTTCTCACTAATTTCTCACCACTAATTTCTCACTTAACAATGAGCACCATATTGACCTTATATATAGGTCATGGATAAGCTTGTGGTGTGATTTATATGACACTAATAATGTCGAAAATTGAGACATGGGGCATTAGGGTTTCCACACATGGTGCATGGATAATGGAACATATGAGGTTATGAATAAAAAACACATAGAGGACATATGAAGCATAGATTATGAGACACCTTAAGATTTGGAAACTAAACCAGGGTTAGTGGGCATCTATTTAATTTAAAAAATTCATAATACAGCCCTATATATTGTGTTTTTCTCAGTTTAATTAGTAATATTTTGAAGCAAACATCATTGGCTTCTTAAATTTTAAATTACAATATGTTTTATATTAAAATTGGCTTTTTGAAATGAAATATTTAAAGATGTTATGTTATATTTAATTTTAAATATTCTAAAAAATATGTTAATGAAAAAAATAAAAACCCCCGAGCAAGAAACGGAGAACCTACCAATTTTTGTTGTTTTCAAAATTTCTTAAAAATAAGAAACGAGAAATAGGGAACAAATATCAAAGACTTATATTACTCAATTTTATTTGATAGCTAGTTCTCTAGCTTTTTTACCCCTATAATCGAGAGGACATAATAAGTTTTTTTTATTAAACTCACCTAAAAAAATTTGAACACAATTCATGGTAGGTGTGATACTATAAGGCTCTATGTCATTGTCAGTGGACTGCCCCTTACAAACTATAAATTACTCAAAAATTAAAAATAAGAAAAAAATACCTGTTAAACAAGAAACAGAAAAGCTACCCTTGGATGCTATTTTTGCACCTTTTTTTTCTTTTTAAGTGTATAGAGTTGAAAGAATTGACTATTTATCCTATTTATCTTCATCCTGGGCAGCAACATCCCAAACAAAGTAACCACACAATTTCATTATCTTAGCTTCTTTGACCTTAAATTTTACAATTTCTTGATCATCGTATCCTACTACAAGAATATTTCAGGTTTTGACAACGATAAGATTCGTCATTACGTTAAAGATTCCAAATTTGTCGCCGAAAGCCTTTGGCGATGAAAATATTTTGTCGCTGTTGAACTATCGTGAGAGGATTTCGGCAACGAAGTTTGGCTATTTTATCCATTCAGTGGATGCAGCCCTAGCCAGAGATTGATCTTCATCATCGGCTGAAATGTTCCAAAGAAAGTAACCAAGCATTTCCAAGTTTTTTTTAACTCTTGAAATCTTGAAACTTATGGTGTCTTCATCTTCGTAGGCAATCCCAGTTGAATCACAGTGTGTGTAGGCAATTGCAAACCTTTGGTCCAACACCACATTGTTGGCATCATTCTCAGCTATAAATTTCTTAACATTTCTATACTCTATGAGACCTTCCATGGAAATATCCTGTCCTTGAGCTGCTACTTGGGTTGGTGCAAACACTTGGGGATTTCTAGAACAAGTAAAGCTTCCATGCCCAACCATGGAAGGGAACTCCAAATACCATCATTTTACTAGGCAAACCTAATTGAATCCATGTTCTGATTCCTGAAAATTCAACACAATGTTAGTTAATTGTTCATTTACCATTTAGAAAGTTGGGTGAAGTTTCTTCGGTAAAGAAGAAACATGTTTTTAGAAGGGGTGGGCTAGATTTCGGAGATCAGGGAGGCCGTGAGTAATGCTTTGACTAATTGAGCTATTCTCGTATCGACAGAGAGATTAGTTCTGGTACTGAAAGATGTGCAACAACATATATGATATCTATCAACATAGGTCCTTACATGATGCTTTGCCCTCACTTACCTGCTTTCTAGAAAAATCAACTAAAGAGGTTATTAGGTCACCTGGTCATCCAACCTAAGATTGTTCCAAAGCTAAGCACGACTAACTTGAAGTTCGTATTATTGAGCCACCTAAAAAAATATGCACTTTGTTGATATAGATAATTACTATCAATTCTTTTAAGYATTTCTTAATCATGCTTATATGATTTAAGAATCTCTCCTATTTAGACGTGGTGTTGGTTCATTCATATATACCCCTCCTCTACTTGGATGTCACACATACCCTCTAACTTCCACTTAGTTTTGTCCTCAGACAACCACATCGTACTTGGGGGGAGGTCCATTATATTATATATGATACCATTTGTAACACCCATAATAGTTTTAACACACAACTAAAGCAACAATAAGGAACATATTAAAACACACCATATAGGTAGCAAAAACAAAAATTACCAAACTCATATGAATGGAAAACCAGAATCAACAACTTATTATAAAATAATACCAAAGTCTCCAGACGAGGATCTTCTCCTCGGATTGAAGAATGCTGAGGATGGTCCAACTTCATTGCTTGACAAAGTAGGGGTGAAAATATCATAAGCAATCACATTAACCCAATCCAAAGTTCTTATCATTACTTGAATTGGATATGTAAGGTTCTCCAAGTGAGGTGAGTAGAAGACTGTAGCAACAAAAATCAACCGTGGTTCCTCAGATTTTCTGGATTCTCTAATAACAGCTCTGTGACACTCAATAATTAGAGCTTCAAAATTGGCCATGTCCTCCACAGAAGAAGGGTACAGCCACTGAAGATCAAGGCCATCAAAATTGCCCTCTCTTGCTTTGGAAATGGAGGTTCTAATAAAGGCTGCACGATGGGAAGAATTGGCAGCCATGGCACCAAATCTCTCAGCTTTTGCTTCATCTCCTCCAATGGACAGCAAAGTTTTCAGCTCAGAATTGTTTTCCTTGACAGTTTGAGAGAAGTGATGAATTAGAGGTTTTGCTGAATCAGAAATGGAGAGTTCATAAGTTTGGGAGTTGAGACCAGCATGAGCACAAAAGAGATGTGGGTAAAGATTAGCATCAATTCTGGAAGCTGGAAGCTGGGAATTGGTCTGGGTGAACCAGTAGCCAGCATTCACAAAAGTAATGCAGGCCATTTGATTTAGAGAGAACTGGCAGAAGAAGAAGAGAGAATTGAAGGAAATTAAACCATATATATTGTGGTTATAAATTGATCAATTTCATATATATAAAATGGGGAAATTGAAGTGGATGGCTAAATTTTCCCATCCGTTTTAAAAAATGTTTATTAGTTTTAAATTTTGCATAAATGGCTAAAGGATATTTTTGGAGTTTTACAAAAGAACGTAATTTTCCAACAATACCCTTTTCTATGTCTTTTTGGCTTTTTCTTATATTCAGCCACGTAACAAACTTTGTTTTGAATTCAAAATGATTTTACAGCATGCAAGGGATTTCAAGTTAATTATTTTAATTACTTTCTTTTGTATTTTAGTTAATTTAAACGATTTGTGTACAACAATTCATCTCTCATCTCATCGTTCTGCAATTGTTCTACTGTATCTTCTTAACGTATATATACATATTTACATCAATTGGTATATATACCTAACTACTAAGGAGTATATGCTGTCACAAGTTATTTGTATTCTTGTTTTCCTATTTCATTATAATTTAATAAATCATCTACAACAAAAGTAAATTAAAAAAATTGAAGTCTAACAACCCATAAATCAAAACGATTAGGAAAATAGGTGATGCCTCTTAAATTTGTAGTCTTTGGGCGTGTATCGTCATCAGATTCAATTTCTTAAACTTCTTTTGACGATGAGTTATTTTTCTTATGTTCATCGGTGAATTCATTATTCACTATTTCATTCTCTTCATTAGACTTTGTGTTGTCCTTTAAAACATTAGAAAATTTATCAAAATTAAAAGGTCAATAAATGTATATACCAATTAAAGAAAAATCAAAATTAGAATTCAATACACGTATATATCATCATGAAACTCAATTATGTCAATACATGTATGTACCAATTCAAGAATTAACAAAATATGAAAGTCAATACATGTATATATACAACTATACAACTCTAGAATGTCCATACATGTATATACCAATAATTACCTCACTTAACACGTTTTCCTCAACTATCTTGAGACCCTTTACTTTTCCTGAAATATACGAGTACAGTTAGCTCATTGAATCTAATTTGTAAATATTACTGTAAAAATTAACGAACAAGAAATATACATATTTTTCACTTTCTAAGTTGATTTTGTATGATTCCTTTGAACGTCTTGATATACCAGTAGGTTTTAATCATTGTCGAGATGTTCATCCTCTAACTTTTATCATATCTATAGATTCTATTTAGAATTTAAGTTATATAAATATAGTAAGTCTGTTGCAGTTGTAGATATATACTTCTCACATCTAGTTATAAACAAAAGACACATGTCGGTCCCACACTTGTATTTTTTTAAATACCCTAAAATATAGGAAACCAAAAAAATCTTTTTAAATACCCCTAAAATACGCAAAATTTGAACAAAGGGTCTTACCTTCCTCGAACAGTTGCTAGAAGATGGAAGTTGGGTGACAGATCGGAAACATATAGAAGCGGCAGTAGGTGGATTTGGTCTGGGGCGGTCGGCGGATCGTATTGGCCTTGAGCTGATCTGGTCGGGCGTCGGGAGGATAGATCTAATTTGACATGTGGCGCATCAAGCAGATATGGTACGTGTTGC